CTACGGATTTTGTTGCCGAACGAATTTGAAACTTGTTTCTAGATTACGCTTTTTTTTTTGATCGTTTTATCACATTTTGCTGGTGTGTTGTGATATTTTTCCAGCTATCCATTCTTTCCATGGAATTCTCCTAGAATTCCTCCCCAACAGTCAAGATGGATACGAATACGACCAAGAAAATGTGGACCGGGTCTTGATTGTACAAGCTTTCTACATGGTGTGTTCAACAGTTCACATTGGTGATTCAAGCAAAACAAAGGTATGGGCCGGTTTGGGAATTGAGCTATGAACAAGTTGCAGCAAACACGCTTTGTGAATCACTGAGCTGGGGTCAAAATTAAAACCCCTCTTGATTGAACATCTCAGGGGGTTATACCAATTACAGTGTCTATTTTATTGCTGATGTCATTGCTAGCTTCATTGAGTGCCAAGCAGTGGAATTTAGACCCTCAAGTGGTAAAATCACTCCAATATTTCAATATTGAACATATATGGACTTATGATTGTATAATCAAATCACATGTTCAAAAGCTGTCTATTTCAACTCCGTGTCTTAATATGTTTGCTTCGTTTCACACCCGATCCACCCATCCCATCCCAAGTTTTTCAGGTCAAAAGATTCCAGCGCGCTCGAATTGCTCAAAGAGGCATTGGACGAGGTTTTGATCCATCCCTATGTGAAAATCATGATGTCAACCCAAGATTTTCATAAACCCCATCCGTCCAAACGGCTGTTTTTAATAACGGGGGGTAGCATTTATAAAAAAGTATCAGATGAAATGACTATGGGGGAAGTAGCCCCCTAATGGATCCAATTGGGATTAGCACTTGGGATTTGCGAAGATTGCTTGGGAAGGCTCGGTTTGGTTTGGTGAGGCAAGTCATGGGTCGATGATTTGTTGGTTTGGAACATTTTTTATTTTTCCAATATATATATATATATATGGGATAATCCTTCCCATTGACCAATATTTTTCAGGGGGGTTGAAACCTCCAATCTGTACTTCCAGTAGTACCGCACAAGGCGGTGGCGGAAGTTTCAAAAATAGGAAACCTATAGGAGAGGTTGGTTGTTGTGAATCAGGGATGGCAGAGCGAAGCCACTGATGGACCAAAAGGTGCTTG